ACTTTCCTACAATTACCTATGATTAGGGATTCCCGAGGGAATCCGAAAGGTTAGGAAAATAAAACCCTTATTCCAGTGATCGCATCTTCTTCTAAACTTTCCTTGCTTATATTAGCCTGATTCTCCCATAGCACAACGCACCTCCAATGTCGCCAAAATTCTGCCGGTTGGCAGCAAATAAACTGCACTAAACAGACAGTTTTCTTTACTAAAAGGTTTTCACCGGATTAAAGTCACTCATTGAATAAAAATACCGTGACCAACTGTGTGCTCAACTGCCGAGTTCAAAGTGATCATGACTGTGCATGAATTACTTCACCTACTGTATATATCTGAGTAGGAGTTGAAATCAGGTTGATAAAAATTTATTTTTTGTGTGAATAGACAACGGAGGACAACATCGAGGAATTTATGCGCATACTGCAACAGGCCCACGACGTGTCATCCATGCGTATCGCTGCGATTCTGGACACGATTAGTACCTTCAGACTGGCACTCTTGCCCGAACAGCCGGAAGAAATGGTCTACTACCTGAACGGAGGCCCTCGGGACACGGGTGCACAGGTGCCGGTGAAGCAGAGTGGTGGTTCAGCCTGGTACCTGCATGAAATTCTCCGACGTTCCAGCCTCCAGGCCGCCAAGACCACTGCGGACATCCAACAGCTCTCCACAGCTGCCTATGATGCTGCACAGGACTACGTTAACATTCTCGCGAAAGACTTTGACAAATTCCTTGAGGAGTATGCCGCCAACGCGGATGCCTTTCCGGACAATCAGACCATGGGCAGTGGTAAGTCACCCAGGCCCAAACGTGAAATTAGAGCAAATTAAAAGTGAGAAGAAGAAGATGATGACTCGATCGATCGAGTCCTTTTCTTTTCAATTACTTCCTGGGACTCGCATGTTCGCTTCTATTGGCAAATCAAAAGAAGTAGATGCGATCGCTGGAACACAAAGTTTACTTGCCTGACGTTTCGGATTCTGGGTTGAACCCATCATCAGAGACAATCGCAGAATACAGAAGAGTATTTGGTGAGCATGCGTGGCTTTCGATAAATTCTCCTCGGACCATTACATTTATGTAGGCAGGGGGTAAAAGCTAACATTCGGGCAGTTATGTTCAGTATTACAGGTGAAGTACTCATGGGAATAGGGGAGGGGATGGGGGTTGGGGTTGATAGTATTAGGCTGGTAACAAGGCACGAGTTGGAGCTTATCCAAAAGAATACGGGAGCACCTACCGGCATGGCTGAGCAAATATAAAGTCAAAAGCATCAACAGCGCCATTCTTGCCCATATGGTTGACTCCGAATATCGTGTGGACTCCAGCGAAGCCTTAAATGTACTTGATAAGGTCCCACCAACGTACCCAGGGTCCCTGGGTCAGCGTTTGCCAGCAACAGCAGAAGGAACCGCGATCCGGTTGAGGAAACCAGTTTTGTGCGCGCAAAGTACCTACTGCAACCTCCGAAGTTGGCATGGCTAATGGTTACATAATTGCCAATAGAGGAGAGTATGCGAGCTCCAGGAAACAGTTCAGAAGAAGAAGATGCGATCACTGGAACAAGATATTTATTTTCCTGACGTTTCGGATTCTGTCAAGCATCCTTAATCATAGGTAGTTGTAGGAAAGTCGGAGACATGCGCAGATAAGTGTAATACATGCACAGGTTGCACGGTATATATAGTTCGTAGCGGTCATTCGCATGCGTACTATAATTGTCAGTTCCCGTAGCCACCGCTTGAGGTCTTAATTGGTGCGGTGATGACTCATTAATTGCCACAGTTTGCTTGTCAGCTTCGGATGCGGGCTTGATAATTGAGGGACAATTATGCCCGCTGTCGTCAGAGTTGTGGCTGTGCCCGGCCCTTCCCACGTGACTGATTCTTCTGCTCAGGTTACGTAACTGCCTACATCCTTCCGCGCTTCCTCTCCCTTCCACCCTCCACCCCCCTGTCCGGATTCAACAACCCTTCATTGCCTCGTAACCAGCCGAATACTATCAACCTCCAATGCCCTATTCCTATGAATAATTTACCCGTACTTGTGAATATAATTGCCCGAGTGTTACCTTTTACCCCCTTCCCCTATAAACGTAATGGCCCGAGGAGAATTTATCGAAAGCTGCGTATGCCCGCCAAATAGGCTTTTGGAGATTAATGACTTAGAACTGGTCATGCTGCTCTCTTTTGTCTGCATGTAATGCTAGCGGTTGTGTTGCTGATCACAGGGCTTGAGAGAGGGGAGTTTCCTACTGTTTCCTACTCATGTCACTGATAATGAATCCGCGATGGATGTCGAAACGTCAGGGGAATAAACGTATTGTCCCAGCGATCGAGTCTTCTTGACTATTGTCTTGACACCGGATATAGGTGTGGGAATGGGGAGAGAGTGGAATAGATCCTGTGAGTTTACTTTCGCTATCATCTAGCTTGAGTTCACGTGCCTCCCGTCAGCTTGCTGAAACCCGTGGTAGTAGAACTGTCATCTATTCTCCATTCCGTCTATACAGAATAAAGTGTTCCTACCACTCTGGCCTCCCATGTCTTCTCTTCTCGTAAGGAACCGGGTTTGAAGATCATTGTGACTAGGATTTCTCCCATTAACTTAACCCCCTGCGATACTTTTCCGGATAGTTTGAATATCCATTTAGGTCTGCATAGCAAGGCGGAGAATCTTTCATCAGCTTTATGGACGTCAGGTAATGTAACTGCGTAGCTTCTACAGGTGACTTTATTCTTTTGCCTGATGAAGAAGTATCTTTTAAAATAAA